AGGCAGCACGGAGTTTGTGACCTGTGGAACAAGTGCTCCCCTTAAATGTACTTTCTTTTTGTCTTATAATAAACCCACATGAAATGACCACAGCCTCTTCTAAAGGGTTCTTCTGTCAAAGTCCCCAGTGTGTTCAGTGTCTGGCGGTGCAGAGAAGTCACTGTGCTTCTGGCTCAGGCTGGGGAGCCCCATGGGTGAGGTGGGAATGTCTCTGACATGAGAGATTCAAACAACTCTCTATCTACTACTCTTGGGGTTGATGCAAGGGATCTGCAACAGTCAGCGAGGGTGAGTGGCCTGGATCCAGCAAAGCTTGTAAGTTCTGGGATGATAAATGACACATGTTTCTGCTGGTTGTTATTACTGGCCTACACTATAATCAGTTCCATGCAGCTTTGTGGCTTCATCTTGGAGTTGTGCTCTTCCCATTGCTCTCTTGGGAACTTACTGGATCGTGTTTTGCTCTTCGCTAAACAGATCAAGTTTTCTCTACTTGAACCCCTGCCTCTAGTGAAAACTGCCCTGGAAAACAGAACTTTCCTCCTACAAATGACAAATGTATCACATTCTAAGGTGATACTTGGTTGTGCTCTGAGGATTTTCTAACTCATGTGCTGTGAATTCTCTGTGGTACCAGACAGTTAAGTGTCACATAAGAACTTGATGTTTTGGAGAGACACGTGTTAACAGAGGCAAAATAGCAGCAGTGAGGGGAGGGCAAAGGACAGCTGTAACAGCAGAGTGTGGGCGTTTGAGCTGGGTGACTGCGTTGCCTTTGCTGTGGTGTGGGCTGCAGTGTCTCCAAAGGCTGTATGGACATGAGCGGGAGCAGAGGTACCCAGCATCAGAAGGAGGTGGTCTCCTCGAGGCAGTTCTCCCTGCCGGCCTGTACTGCAACTTTATATTGAGAAAGAGTTATGAGCTGCAGATGACCCAGCCAAATGATAAGCTTGTGTGCAGGGTGTGAGTGTATTTGGAAAGGAAAATATCTTCATTTGCGGGAAATCTTATGTGTTGTTTCCTCTTGGCTGGACCCTGATGTAAGTGGAACTGCAGAAAAGGGAAAAATGATCCAATAATGTCTCTGTTGCAGCAAGTGACTGCCTGGTGAGTTTGCTGCAGTGCTGTGCATGGGATCAAAACTGAACAGTCTGCTTGTGGAAGGAGCTGTGGAGGGAATGTTGCATCTTATTCAGAGTAAAACTTGGAAGCTGTTTTGTCAATATTAATTGCAGCTCGGGGTTTCAACAGTTTTTGGCTGACAGGGAGGAAACCTATAAGGTGCTTAAAACAAACAAACACAAGAGCCAGACCAGCCAAATGCTGTGTTTGGGTTCCTAAAATGGCCAGTCAGAATCTGAATTCATCATTTTGTGAAAGGTACAAACATACCAAACATCAAATCTAAGTTATGATATATTGCTAAAAATTTTCCAGGATCAACTGGTGCCTGGTGAGATTACAGATGCCAGAGTTTGGTATTTTATGGGTGGAAAATGAGTTAAACTTTCCATCACACTGATACATACGTAAATGGTTTGTGTCACCAGTCTTCGTACACCTGACTGTATGTGGTTCTCTGTGCTTGTCAGGCAGCTCTAGCTGACTGATAATGATAGTTTGTCTCTTGGATGTAGCTGTGGCTTGGCGTGAACTGCTTGCTGCACAAGTTTCACTGGTTTGATTGAGATCAGATCTGTGAATCTGCTCTGTAGCTTCAAGGAGAAGAGGAAAGTCAGTCCCCTGTGAAGGTGAGTAAAGCTGTGTCTGTCCTGAGCACAGCATTATTGCTGTGAGACAGGAAAGTGTGTTTGTTCCTCCTTGGCTTTGATCAGGGACTGCTTCTAGCTTGTCCAGTTGCTGGGGGTAATAGCCTTTAAAGCTTGGGGAGTGATGGAAGCACTCAAACCAGTAAATGAAGATCCTGGCTGTACTGCAGCGCTCTTGGGCTGTGTGGGTTCATTTTGGGTCTCACATGCAGTTTCTAGTTATTTCCTTTCCTGTGAAGTCTTTCTCCCATGTTTTCTCATGATGAGGCCTCCCATAGCTATGAGACCTCGTGCATGCAGCATGTGTTCATAATGCAGCAGCACAAGATCCTGTCACTGCTTATTTCCTTGCAAGGTGCCTGGACGGGTTAAACTTCCCAGTGAATTATTTTGTGTCTCTGTCAGCAGGAGGCAAAATGCTGGCTGCTAGAGGACAGCGAAACCATCTGAAATGCACACTATCATTTTCTGCTTGTCTTCAATTAAACTGATTACCAGACTTCTTTGTTGTTCAGAGCTCAGACCATTTCACATGCTGCCAGCATGTACTTTGCAAGTGCGAGCGATGGGATTTCCTGCATTGTTTGAGTCTTTGCCATTGACCTTTGTGGTCGTTGTTCTGGCGTTGCCTCTGCTCTGGCAGGGGTGCAAAGGGCATTATTCAAACCCTGAAAGAAGACATAAAGAATTGCTTTAAAGGCATTGAGGGCTCATTGTAATCTGTGGCTCTGAGGGTCATTGCTGCGAAAGAAGGGGAATTGCTGGGGCTGTCAGGATAATTACTTTTTTTATTGTTCTCATCCCAGTCTAGATGACAGTGGTGTGATTTATATTGAGTCATAAAAATAGACCTTCCATACAGCATTAGGATGGTGTCCTTTTGGACTAAGTGGGGAGAAGTCCAGCTTTGGGTCTTCCTGGGGAGTTGCGTAAGAGCTGGAAGCACTCAGCTGTGCCCTGGAGATTCTCTGGCTCCATCCTGGGGGGCTGGAGAGGCTGCTGGGGTTGTGCTGGAGCCCTGCTGGAGCCCATGCCATGGACGTTGGTCACCACAGCGTTCAAGAAGATCCACCTCTGCCTGCTGCTGGAGACGGGCACGCCAGAGGTACAGGAGCCATCTGCCTCATGGCAGGGGGGGGCACCAACCATTCCTGCCCCTGTCCCCCCTCCGCGGTGGTTGCTCTGCTCTGGTAAATCATTTGCTTGGCTTGTGCCTGGAGCCTTGTACCTTGAACCTACTGCAGGTCTGGTGCTTGGCTCGCCAGCATGGCGGCCAGGTCAGGGGAAGGCTGAATGCATGACTGTTCCTTCCCCTTTCCATCTGGAGCCTGCCTTCCCCTGTCAGGTGCCTGCAGTTGGTCTGGAAACAGGCGGTGGTTGCTCTGCTCTGGTAAATCATTTGCTTGGCTTGTGCCTGGAGCCTTGTACCTTGAACCTACTGCAGGTCTGGTGCTTGGCTCGCCAGCATGGCGGCCAGGTCAGGGGAAGGCTGAATGCATGACTGTTCCTTCCCCTTTCCATCTGGAGCCTGCCTTCCCCTGTCAGGTGCCTGCAGTTGGTCTGGAAACAGCCAGCCTCATGAAGGTGTCTCTGGTGTGGCTGGTAGACTGATGTGAAGGGCAGATGAGGTCTTTAGAGTAAGATGTTTGGAATAAGATACAGCTTCTGCATTATTGATTTGGTTGCATTTACATGGTATCGTGCTGCTTGAATTAAATTGTCTGGAGTGAGATCTTGTACTTGATGTGCTGTTGCAAAACAAATGCCAGGGTGCTCAGGTTGGACTAAGTGCTCTGTGACTCCAGCCTTTTAAGTCCAGCGGGCACTTGAGGTTAGCTGGGGGACTGACAGCAGCACGCCAGGCTGTCCTGCTCGCCCCAAGTGCTCAACTTCTGCCTTGCTGCAGGTCTGTCCCCACTGCGATTGGTACCCAGAAGAGAAGAAGCCTTTGCAGCTCTTCCCTGTGGTGGGACACGGACAACCTCGGGAGGTGAGACCACCCCAGTGGAGCCGCAGCTGCCTGGAGGAACCTGGCCTCCCAAGGGTGCCTCTCATCTTGTGTTTCTTTGAACCTGTAAATGAGCTTGGGCATGAAACATGAGCTGTAACAAGCCCTGTTGTTGTTGGAGTTGAAAGCCCAGGCTCTGCACTGTGTCGGTGCTGAGTTTGAGCTATTTTTCTTCTGGGGAAGTAAATTGCTCCAGTGGACAATCCAAGCACGTGACTGCTGGGGCAGTCATGGAAAATTGGCTCAGTTGTCGTGTTTATTTGCTCTGATATAACTTTTTATGACACTGCCATGCAGCTTTTTCCAGGCTACTGGAATGTGTTATTCTGTATTTCTTCCCTTCCGCTATATTTTTAAAGAAGCACTATCAGGGAAACTATATAACATCCATTTGCCTTATTCTTGTGGGTGATGAGTTACAGGCTTCTGTAAACGACTAGGGCTTTTTCTTCACTCCCACCTCCCCCTCCCCAGTAAGGGGAATCTTGTAGGTCAAGATTATGATTTATAGCAGGGCAAATTAAAATAGCAGTTGTTAGCTCTTCTTCTGTTTTGATGAAATCAAATTTGCCTGATTTTAGTCTCAACTTGCACCTCCTTTTTTCTTCAGGGAGGGAGGAAAATCGCTCTCTTGCCTTCTGCAGGGCTGGTTGCTAAACTTATCAAGTGGTTTCTCTTCTGAGAAGGTGTTGAATAGCTTTGGTTTGTTCCTATACAGAATATGCTGGTGTTTTTTTCTCTCCCTGTCTCCTGGGAAAGCTCAAGTGCTCATTACAGTAGGTAACAGCCTTATGTTGGGGTATAAAGGTCATGAGTGTTTGCTTTCATCTCTCCAGCTGGGAGTCAGATGGACATACACAGGAGGTAGCAAGAAGTCTTTGCAGCAAAAGAAGCTTTTGGTGTGTTTTTCTTGAGGAAGTCCTACAGACTAGTCAGTCTTTTCTGCTTAGAGGCTGTAGCCGTTTTTGTCCGGGTCTAGCAGAGCTAATTTCCAACCCTGAAGAAGAAATTTTGCCCTTCCTGCATCCCACGGTCTCTCTTCATTGCTCTGTGTGGGAGACCTCCGGTACCAACGGTGTTTTATATCCAGCTCTGCAACAATACACTGATTTGTTCACCTCCCATTAAATATTTCCAGTGTGAATATCAGGTAGTAATAGAATATTCTGGGCTTTTTTTAATATATTCCAAATTCTATTTTAACTGCTCTTTCCATTACTGTAGGTAAAGGGAGTGAAGCGCATCTGAATATCTATGAATGAGCTGTGATGGATAACAAAGACTCAGAAGCTGAGATCCACCCTCTGAAGACTGAGGATGTGAAAGTTCAAGAGAACCATGAAAACTCTGTGGAGAGAAGAATAGTGAACAAGCAGTCATCGCAGCTGTCCCGGCTGTCCCGGTGGCGCACTGCTGCCTTCTTCATCTCATTATTTCTGTGTCTCATAATTGTGTTTGCTTTCTCCTTTATCATTCCTTGCCCAGAGAGACCAGTTTCAGAAAGAACATGGTTCCGAAACTACAACCATGCAGGTGAGCTTGCTGTAGCAGAATAAATACCTACCGACAGTCCTTTTCCTTTATGTGCCACGAGTTTGAATTGTGGGCCTCTACCTAAGCACAATCTGGAGCTAGGCCTGCAGGGATGCTGCCCTTGGGAACAAGAGCTGCGTGAATACCTGACCTGGATAAGCAGTGGCCCGTCATAATTGGAGTGGCCTTCCAGGAGGTGTTTACAGGATCTAATGGAGAAATTAGATGCTGCTCTGAAGCTCTAACAAGGTATCAGGCTGGCCTCATTTGGGAATAAAAAAGTCAGGAAGTGTATCTAGGAATAAAACTTTGTTTAAGTTTGGTTTGTAGAATGTTCCCTTGAAGTCTGAGCTGAGGTCTGGGGACAATTAGGCATTTTTTTGCTCTGTCCATATGACTTTCTGACTTTTCCCAATGGCTAACAGGAAGGGGAGAAAACGAATTGCATCTTGTTGTGGTTTTTTATAAATTGCACGCATTTGTAGTTGCTTTAGTTGGCTCTTTAGCCCGGGTACTGCTCCCTGGTGGCTCAGCATTCACTTCTGTGAAAGCTTTTCTTTAGTCTTATGTGCAGTGGGTGTGTGCTGGTTGTGCTGTAAACACAGAGATGGTGCTCACCACTGGGGACTGTACTTTGTGTGTTACTGCAGACATCCAAGTTCTGTTGCTCTGGGCTGAAAAAGGTTACTGTTAGCTGAGTGAGAAACATGGAGTATCTGGGGCTGGGTTTGGGGTTGTTTTGTATATTTATATTTCAGAAATAGCAACCCCACACCAAGACCAGAGCTGTTCTTTGTTCAACATCGTTCAAGCTCTGGTTGGTTGGCTCTAAAAAAAGACAAATCCTCTGGGGCATAGCAAACTTAAAAAATCCTTTGGCACTAACTTCCAGCCCTCAGTACTCATGTGGATGGCTTTTTTTAATACAAAAGCCAATTTGTCCTGAGGTTACACTGTCAGAGATGGAGGCAGTGAGTAGGACTCTAGGAATTTGTTTTGCTTCTGCTAGGTTTACTGTTGGTTGAGGCAATCCTCACCAGTGCCTCCCTTGTGATCTCTTTTGCAGCGGCCTACCAGTTTCTCGCCATACAAGATGCGAATAAAGACAAAGTGCAAGATGTCATCTTTGCATTCAAAGCTAGCAATGGCAGCAGCAGCTTCAACAGATCCTGTCTGGATGAAGGTAGCTGATTCAGAAACAGAAAGCTTTGCAGTAAGGGCTGGTTTTGCTCTTTTAGCTCTAATTAGTGAGGCTGGTATGGGACTGGGAGAGAAAACTGGGTTATCTGGGTGGGGAGAAGGACTGGGTGAGTCCCAGCTCTCGGGTGGTGTGGAGCAGCAAAGGTAGGTGTGTAGGTAGTGCTCCCTCTGACATGTCTCCTCCTCAGGTCTGCCTTCTCCATGTGCCTTCATTGCTGCTGTGTCTGGCACCAATGGGAGAGCGCTCTGGGAGGGGCCTGCTGCCGAGGAAGTGGAGTGGATGGAGTGTGGCATCAAGCAGCTCGGGGAGGCTGAGGCCCCGGGTTGCCTGGTGGTGGGGAAGCCGGTGTCTCTCACAGCAGTTGACCTGCACACAGGTGAGTGGTGAGCAGAATACTGCTGCCATACTGGGGATGGTCCTCACCCAGTGACCGTCAGACCTCTGCGGCTGGGGACAGCAGCATGACATGACCTGCTGGTACATGAACAATGGGCAAAGGGTATTTATTATCTTGAAAACCTTGCCAGAGCCATTCGCTGGGCTGTTGAGAAGCGACTGTTCTCTCAGCCTCTCTGTTCCGAAGGCTGGACTCTGTTGTGGCGTTTTGTGCCAGCTGCTGTATTATAAGAGCAACATTTCAACAGCTTTTGAAACAGGAGCAGCAGTCGCTAACTGTGAATGTTACTACTTACTCAGGGGTTGCACCTGCAATACTTCCCAGTCATTTGTGTGTGCGTGCTAGGAGTGCCTGCAGCGGCAAGTGGAGTGTTAGGCATTTATCATTTTAAAGTCATCAAGGTGAGTACTTAGAATAAGTGCTCACCAGTCTGTTTCAGTAGTCCAGGATTTTACGTGGTTCCTCTGAAAGCCTTTTTCATGTCTGAACCTATAGGTGGAGAAATTCATCATCAACTTGCCTAATGCAGGGTGGGAGTAAAGACTGCCTGTACATCTCTTGGAACAGGACAGTGATCATCCTAGTGCACCTTGAACCTTCTACGCTGGTGAAGCTTGAAATACATTTCCATTTTGGTGGTCACTGTTTCAGAGGTTCTAAAAAATGCATGTTCTACCTTGGAACCATGCCTAGGATCGTGTCCTCTGTATCTGGTTCTGAAGCCCTAACACCCTATTTTCCAAAAACTGGGAGAGAAATGGTGAGAGGTCTGAGGAAGATCTAGTGTAGCTTTTAATTTCCAGTGTGGATGGAAGTGTAGATGCACACAGAGCTAGAAAGCTTCTGTACCAGCTGAGGTATCTTAGTACCATTTCCCTCATCAGTAACCTTTAGCATGGGTTATTTAGACTATTAATGAAGTAGCTGCTTTCAGGTCAAAGTGTAGGAGCCAAATGCGTGTAACTAGAGACAGCCATAAAGAAATAGCTCCCGGAGAGAAGGAACCAGGCTAAGCCACAGGTCACAACAACAATACAGTAAAGGAAACATTCAGTAAATAAATTAAAAGCAAGAGGTGAAAAATTGCTTCAGACGGAAAAGTGAACAACTGGAAAGTTGATGTATTTGTTACCTTTTTGCTATTAAGTAGGTTAAAAGGGGTTTCTTAGTGTAGTTGACTTTGACTGGGGGTTGGGAGGTCAGAATGAAATGTATTTAAATAGGCTAAATGTCTTTAAAGTGGCAAAGTCTGACTTACATCACATTGTGCTAAAACCAGTAGCCAGAACAATGTTTAGCTGTTAATGATTCATTATTGTGGAGCATTGGTGAGATTCCAGGGCTCTCAGGCTGTCTAGCCTCTGCCTGTGGGGAGATTGGAGGAGAGATAGGCAGATTGTCATTTGAAAGCATCTCATGTGGTTTTGATCTTTAAATGCTGATAAAGTTAGTGCTTCTGTATCAATTCGAGTTGTGTTAGGTCTTGCTTTCTTCGTTGCCACAAGTGACATGAGCATACAAGAAGTGTAGGATTGCATGCTTCTGTTTGCGTGGGACATCTAACATTCCTGCGTATTTATCTTACAAAGAAACCAAGACCCAGGAGTTTAAGATTAGCTGTTCCAGGTCAAAGCAAAAGTCTGTGTAGCTGCGTATTCCATCTCTGCCAGGGCAGGAGCAGAGTCAGGAAGAGGACAGGAATAAGTGTTTTGTTGCAGCTTCTCTCTTCGCCTTGCCCTCTAGCAGCCTGCATTGTGAGCCCTGTGAGTAGTTCTGGTCTCTTGAGGGGTATGGCACAAAGCGGACCATGATGATCAGACTTATGAAGTTGTTTCTGTGCAAGAAATCGCTAAATAAACCAGAACTCCAACTTGGAGAATGTCTGACAGAGAGAAGTCCTCTGCAGCTGCTTGAAGCGAGAGCTGAACTCAGTCATCTCAGTCCTAATTTTACTATTTCTTCTGGCCCAAAAAACCCCCAACTGTTTCATCGAGGTTTGGTTTGCTGTCCAGGCACTCGTCTAATTTCCATCTTGGCTTCTGTTGCTACACTTCTACTGTGAGCTTGGGCTCTGAGGAAGCATCTTGGTGTTAGACAGAATACTCCTGTCTCCAGTTGATGGAACAGAATGGGACTGGTTTCATGGTTGGTGCCCTTTGGGGGTTGTCTTAGAGCATTAAAACTTCTGAAATGCTTTGTGTTGAGTCCATCTCACTGTTACCTGTTTCAGTTAAGTCAGATTGCTCTTTTAAGAGAGTAAAATGTTTCCTCCAAACCTTATCCACTCTTTGACCAGCAAAGAATAGAGCCTAATGCATTGAAATGCAAGTATCATCAGCCTGGTCTTGCTGTTGTAGATTTGGACTGTGCTGAAACCAGGATATAGTTACCTAAAACTTCAGTTTTCTTTCCTTTGCCTTGTTTTCTTCAGGGGTAAAATTCCTTGCCTTCCCATGATTTCCTAGGGGTACTCTTCTCCTTCACATCTGTTGTCATAATAACAAATCTAAGTATTTTTTCCCAATGTTTCAGTAACAGCTTTGGAGTAATCCTACTGGAAGTACAGCCAGCCTTAAATTATTGCAGACAGCATCAGGTATTAATTCTTGGCCCTCAGTACAATGCCTTCCTGACAAAGAACAGATGATTACTTTGCATTCCTGAAATTATAATTGCTGTGTGTGATATTGTTTGAAGGGGAGGGTAAGCATTTCACCTCTGAACACCTAGTTAGTCACTTAAGTCTTCCTTAGAAAGAAACCCCCTCAAGCGGTCTTCCCACATGCACACCAAATTCCATTGCACATTCCACTGGGCAGTGACTGGAAAGTGGCCAGCATTATATGGAGTAGAGCCACTCAACTGGCCTGGAGCTGTTGAAGAGAACCCTCCCACCCCATTATTTAAAAACTAATCTTTGCCACCTCTGTTTACACACAAGTTTGAACATGCTGTATGTGTTCTTCAAAGGAGGGAGAGGGGGCTGTGAACTGAGTTGCAGCTGGTTGCATCACCGTGGAACATCTGCAGGAGGCAAGTTGCAGCAAAGGTTTTGTGGGGAGTAGTTGCAACGCTGTGGTCAGAATTCATCTGCTTTATGGTATTAAAATGTCTGTGCAGATTTCAACACACAGCAGCAAGGTTTGGATCACAAAAAAGGATTCTCTGTGCCATGAACACGCTGGGAAGCATGTTAAGCTAAGGCACAGGAAAAACTTCTTTGGGCCCAGGATGTTTGGGTGCATTTGTGCAGGCAGCTAGAATTACTTTCCAATGTAACTTGAAAGTGTGCATATTGGGACTTACTTGAAATGCAGAAATGCAACAAAGTACCTTATGATGAGCATAAATGTGACTGGGTTGTGGTGCTGATTGGCTGTAAATGGCTGGCTACTGCAAAGCACTTTGAGGAGCAGGGGCAATAAAAGCCTTTCAACCTAAAGTGCGTTTTAGTGAATGTTTCCTAATAACTGTCTTCTAGGAGAAATTCAGTGGAGACATTCCAGTGACTTTGGAGCTAATTATACTGTGCTAACTCCTGTGTCAGTGATTCCAGATGTGGATAGTGATGGAGTTCAGGACCTGATAATCTTTACTGCTACAGGAGATAAGGTATGTCACTCTGAAGCTGTGATAAGCCCAGGGACTGGACCACAGGGCATGGCAGGGATGCTATTTATTTCAATTTTGTAGTCTAAGAGGAAGTGTCTAGAGGCCTCTGGTTTCTGTGGTTTTGGGACAGGTTCTTTCCCACCCTGCAGAGATGAATCCAAAGACTCCCAAATCAATGCAAGTGGTTTGCAGTTAAAAAATAAAGAAACAAGGAAAAAAGCTGGCCAGGAATCCCTGCGCTTTCTCTGTGCACTCCACTGCGTGTCCCTGCGCTGTGTATGGAGTGAGCCTAGGCTAGATGAGCTTGCAGTTTTCTGGGACTCTGCTCAGATATGTGGAAGTGAACACACTCTGACAGGTTGGCTCTTAGATCAAAGCACAGTTGACAGCCAGTGCTTCTGTACCACCACTGCCCTTTTCTGACACCTTATCTCTGCCTGTGATCTGCTTTGCACGGCTCTTCCTAGTGTCACTGTGCTGCTTACTTCTGGCTTGGGTCGGTGAAATAGCTGCCAGTTGTGTTACGTCCATATTTCCTATTTCTTAGAGGGGGAAAGTCATGTGTCTGAAAGTGTTTTTATACTAAAACATCTGTATCTGTGATTGAGTGGCACAGCATCATCTGCCTGTGCAATCTGTCCCATTTAAAGCATATAAAAGTTACGGTTCCCTGCAAGTCTGATGGGAGGAGTGGAATCTCGGTGTCCTCATACAAGAGTCCTCCATAAGCAAATAGGGTTTTGCTGTCCAAGGCATTGTTGTTGCCAGAGTCATCAGAAATTCTATCCTCTCGACTCTTATGGTTCACTTCTGTTTTCTTTCCTCCTTGCTTTTGCTATCCCAATTATCTCAAGACTTTTTTTTTTATTAATCTTAGATGGCCCAGAAAGGTTTGAATATAGTCTCTGTTCTGCAAAGTGCCTTTTGATTTGTTTTCCAGTTAACCTCTCTAGCTACCTTGGTACAAAATCCCTTCCTCCTCTGGACTTGGCAAACATTCTGTCAGCTTAAGTAAAAGTATGTTCTTTCTTGAGAAATCATGCAAAATGTAGGGAGCTTGAGTGGCGCTCTGCAGCTTGGAAAAAGGCACTCTTGTCGGAAGTGAGATTCAGAATTTAAGTAAATTAGCTTTGTTGCTAATGGGCTGAAGCTGAATGTTACTTTATACTTCACTTCCCTGAAATGGCAGAGTTTCAGAGGTTTTCAGGGAAGGGTCTGTGTGCAGGGGGTTTAGATGGCAGCTTTTTCCAAGAGGCTTATTGACCTCTACCTACTGCAAACTTCAGCAGTAGCACGTCCAGGAACATACGAGATTTTTTCAGGATACATTGCCCATAGCAGCACATAGAGGTATTAAGCAATGCAGTAAGTAAGGTGTTGTGTAGTCTCACTTGCTGTATGAATACCTTTGGCTGTTGCTGTCCTGGGGCAGCCGCTGAAACAGGTGCACCAGGGCTTGTAATGAAAGGTGAAGCTGATCTACAAGAGCTGGTATGTGTCTCCTCCCAGTGCAGGAGGTTGGGAACAGCTGGTGGATGCGTTGCTCTCCCTCTCCAGCTGTGACTTTCATTCTCCCCAGCAAACTATCCCTTATTTACCTGCCAGACTCCCCACAGAGCAGCAGATTTTCTTCTCTTTCCCAGTCCCTCCCTCTCAAGGAACAGAGAAGGGCTCCTGCCTGACTCAGCATCTCTGCATGATGCTGTTTCTCTGGGTCTGATGATTCTCTTTTCCCTAGTGTGTATTGCTCTCCCTAGAGCATGACTGTTGCCCAGACATTTGAATCCGATCCTTATTTTAGCCTTTATTCTTGTAGGTCAAATGTTTATAGTGGATTCTGTTACCCTGTTAAAAGAATATAAAGAAACATGTCAGCTCTTTTATCCCCTTAGACTCATGTCAACCTTAGGAGGAGTAGATTAGGGCGCTTAAAATATTTAGCAGAGCTACCATGTGAAGCCAAGTTTCCCCTGTGTCCATATGCTGGTTTGTTTCTGCCTTTAGGTCCTCTCCATTGTTGTCACTGCTCAGTAGGCTTGAATCAGTTTTGCTGTCCTTAGCAGAGCTGGGGCTTGCTGTTGGGTGGTCCCAGCCAGCAGGGGAGGTGGTTAGCGGAGGCAGTAAAATCTCGGGGCATGGGACTGTGCTGGAAGTGGCTTCCAAACTTGCAAAAGTATTCACAGCAGAGGGATCATCTAACTCAATGCCATACACCTCCAAAACCCATCCCGGCCAGTGCTGCACCCATTCAGCGGCTATTCGGTACCAGCTGCTCAGAAGCTTTGTGAAACACTCAAGTTGGAGCAGTAACAGTGCTGTAACCTTTTTTGTAATCTTTAACCTTTTTTACTTTTTATCCCTTCCTGTGTAGATTAAAACCTTCATCCATTCAGGAAAAAATGGCAAACAGATCGGCTCCACTGGAAGCCTGACTGTGGATGGGAAACCTCGTTATATCAGGCTGAACCTGGACTCCTCCTCCTCCTACTTTCTTTTCTATACAGGTACAGTTCTGTTTGTGAATTCAGTCTGAAAGAGTAATTATAGCTGTGAAATGGGGATTCCTAAACAGTTGTCTGAAAGAGTGTTTTGCATTCTTAAAAGCTGTGTCGTGCTTTCACCTAGCAAAAGAGCTATTCGAGGCCAAGAGAAGAGGTGGCTTCTGCTTAAGCTAAGGTTTGTTACCCACTGTAGTAATTTTATTTGAAAAAATGTTAAGAATGTAAGGTTTAAGTAGTCATTTATAGCAAATGATTACTGTGGAACACTTGGATTATGAGCAGATAAGATGTTAAAAGCATTCAAATGCAGGCTTGAGTCTCAAAATACCACTACAACTCTATGATGCAAGTCCTAAAAATACAGTTGATCTGCCAGATCTGGAAAATCATAGAGTTCAGAGCAAGGGCAGGACAACTTATCTCCTCCATTCTTGCTTTTTTTTGCACAGAAAACTCTCTCTATGCGTATTCCCTGAAAGATCTCTACAGTGCAGCAACTGGGATGGAAATTAAGCTTCCCGGCCTTCAGCAAGATCCTCAGTGGGAGAAGAACATTGACCACACTACGCACCGCTTGTCCCTTCTCAGGTGTGAGGTTGTTTTGGTTGCTGGTGGAGTGGAGGATGCTCATGTTCCTGACAAGATGGCTTTGTTCTTTCTTGGCTACATGGCTTCTGGACTAGGAGCATGTCCGAAGCTCAGGGAGAGTGCTGGTGTTGATGGCTTGGTCAGGGTTTCACAGGAAAGGAGGGAAAGCAGGCAGGGGTTTCCTATTTACATTTACTGTGCAGGGATTAAAAAAACCCAAACCAAGCCAAAACTGAAAACCCTGCAATAAACCCATCCACAGTCTAGAAAGCATAATCATCTCTCTGTCCTTGTTCAGCTTTGGGGACATCCGTTACCTGGCAAAAATTCCTGGGCAATCACGGGAGAACATCCTGGTAGTAAACTCGGACATGGCTATGCTGATCAGTGTACACAATCTGCAGACTTTTTGGACCCTCAACGTGTCCCGTGTTGTGAGGTAGTGTTACCAGGGTGGGGTGGATGTGGCATTTCCAAGTTCCCAGCAACAGCAGTGTGCTGGCAGATGCTTTTTCATTTGAAACGCAGGAGCCTGCTCTGTGGTCTTATCTGGGTATTTCTTGTGTCGTGTGTCCTTTACAAGCAAATGTCAGGTGCTACTTCACAATGGAGGCACCCAAAGCTTTGATTATTCATTCTGTGCCTGTTGTGATATGCCTAGGACTGGGCTCAGAGTTGGAGTGATACCAGGCTAACCTAACGTTGTGGCAGCCGAGTCTCCTACCAGGGGAGTTGTGGGAGGATAGAGGCTGCTCTGAAAGAACAAGGTACGCCCAAGTCATCAGGGTGCATTATGATCTGTCCCTTCTCTTTCTCTCCCTTAGTGAACCACTGCTTGGTTACTACAAACCCGATGTTCTTGGTATTGTCCTTGAGAGTGAAATCGGACCCAACAGGAAGAAGGTTTGAAATCTCTTCCCTTTAACTTCACTTTTAACATCTCACAGCTCAAGCAGGCATTGAGTTGAGGACAGCTGGTGGGATGTCCCCTCTGGCTGATTTTAGGAAGCTTTAGGCTGGGAAAGGCTCTCTTTCAACAGGTTATTGAAGCTGGCTCAGGCACTTTAATTCTTTTTTCAGCAAGAGGCTTCAATGAAGGAGCTTTGAACCCCTTGAAACAGCTGCAAAACTTCAGCTTGAAACTGAAACCCTTGAAATAGTTGCAAAACTTTGACTTTGCTCTCAGCTTCAAGTATTTCATCAACTTCCTTTGTCTCAGATGCTTGTTCCCGTAGACTGTGTGGGGTAGAGATAGGTGACTTGACTGCTCTCTCATGGCTTGTCAGAGCTAGGTATGAGTTCCTTTTCTTTCTTTCCTGCTAGGTTATGGTTATCGAGAGTGGATCTGGAACAGTCCAGTGGAACCTGAAGCTGAACTCGAGAGCAGAGAGCCCTGGGCCAGCCACACTTTCTACTGCTGATCACCGGTCCACCTTCCTCATCTGGGGTGAATACCAGGTGCCAGGAAATGAAACGGTGAGTAGTGCTGTTGAATGGTTGCTGTTCCCAGACTTTGGGACAGACTTGGATGGAGCTACACCTTTCTCCCAGTGTTCCCATTTTTATTTGTCTGTGCCTCTTTAACACTGCAGCCTCTGCACTGGGTGTGGGGTCTCTGACCGGTCCAGCCTGCTTCAAGCAGGCAGACCTCTGCATATGGTCGGGTCTCTGCTGGGCCCTCACAATGTCCATAGCAATGTCCCTGCTAACAGCTGGTGGTGGCAGCAATAGCTTTTGTCATTCTCAGCCTGGCTACGTAGAGAAAAGGGACTTAGTGGCTCTACAAGCAAAGTCACTGGTTGCCCAGAGCCCTGCCTTGGTGTGGTACTGTAGGTGAGGCAAGAGGCTGCTGGCTTGGTACCTCTGGAGTTGCTGCTGTTTGGCTGGAAGCCTCCTGTGGCAGTACCACATGCACTGATCTCCCATGGCCCTGTGAATATCCCCTCTCTGCACCAAGGCAGTCTCTGGCAGTCTTGATGCACAGCTCAGCTGTGTAACAGCCCTCTGGGGCAGTGGCTGGCAGCATTAGTGACAGGTTGTGTCTTGGAGGATGCCTGAGCACCAGCTGAGCTTCCTGTGCTTTCCTGCTAACTCTACCAGCCCTAAGGCAAAAATCTGTCTCCTGCCTCTGGCAGACAGGCCTGCTATCTAGAGGGAGCTTGGGGTGGGGAGGAGAGCACCAAGCAGTAAGCAGAATCCCAGCACTAGTTCTAGTAGCATCAGACAGGATGAGTTGGGCAGACATGGACAAGTAACTGGACGTATTCTGAGTAACAGCTGAGCCGGGCGCTGGTGGTGTCTCTGGGATAACTTACTGGTCCTTGTCCTGATGGTGTCCTGTTTGTTGCAGACATCTAGAGATCCTCTCCAGAAGCTCTATCTTTTCCATCCCTCCTACACTAATGTCTTGTTGGAGCTCCGCAATAGCACAGACCAAATAATAGCGTTCGATGGTAAGTCCTCTCCTTCCAGCCCTCCAGTGAGGAGGCACAGGAGGACACTTCTGGAACCTCCTGGACTCTGGGTGCTTGGTATTGGGTCTGGTGGCCAGTCTGAGCACAGAGACCTTAGGCTGGGCTTTCCCTCTGCCCTGTGTTACAGCCCTGCTGTTCGAGCGGAGCCGTCACGCCTGCTACGTGCTGCTGCGGGGCCCTCAGCCCAGCGAGGAGCCAGGGACGGTGTCCCTGATGAAGCGTAAGCTGAAGGAGGATGTGTCTGGGAGCAGGGTCATCTGGCTGAACCAGGTGGCTGTGGACAGCGAGCAGTACATCCGAGACCGCCTCTACAGGATGCGATTCCACAGCCGAGTGTGAGCTGGCTGAGGGATGGGGAGAGGCTGCCCAGGGCTGGGCGTCTCTGAGCTGCCTCTCCTCTGCAGCCGTGCTCTTGGCAAACCCAGATTGCGGATTCAAATGGGAAGCTGCCTTTCTTGATCCACAAACCAAAGGGGGCCGTGGGGGCAGCTGCCACTGCATCTGTCCTTGGAGCTGATGGGACTTCAGTGCTTGGCTACCACTGAAGTGTTGTCAGCTCAGGGAAGAGGGCTTTCCCTTCGATCCTTCTGTGCCCGCAGAACTGTGCTGACTTAGCCTGTGTCTGGAGGAAAGCGTGTGCTTGCTGGGGATGCCAGAGTTGGTTATTTCTTGGGTGGCTGTGTGAGAGGTGGAGCTTTGGTGTGTGGTGTTAGGTGTCCTTTCTGAGTCAGCTCTCCTGGGGTGGGAGAGGTGCTTGGCTGCAGGTTGATTTGCAGTCACCCTCTCCTGGATTTGGGCCCCTGCTTTGGTAGTCATGGGGTGTGTGTAGCGATAGACCCCAGCCATGGCTGATGATGTGGCTAGGTGCCACCTAGGCCAGCAAAGGGCAGGTTAAACTGTCATTCTACTTAGAAAATGGCCTGTGCTCCTAAGAACAGCCCCATGTGCCCTACTCTGCAGTCACAAACCTACCTGTGTCTGTCTCCTCTGCTGCTTCCTTTCCAGCCCGGCTGTGCAGTGTGGTGACACAGAAAGGGAGCTGGTCTCCCACCTGATTTATGCATTGATGTTCCTCCCTGCCCCAAATCTGATTAAAACCGATGCAAAAAACACCCTTAGCCCAGGCTGGCTGGTCCCTGCTGGTTCAGACACCACCTCTCTTGCTGGTTTTGAGGTGCCAGAGGAGGTGGGACATTTTTTCAGAGTAGAATTGCATGTTAACCTTTCCTGGGAGCTGGGCTTGCCACTTTGGGGAGCCCTGTACCCCAGTGGCAATGCCTACTGCCCTGCAAGTACTCATTCAGCCTTGCAGCTGCTGAGGAGCCTTCTCCAAGCACTGTGCCCTCTGCCAGGAAGTGGGCAAGCTGTAAGACTGCATGAGGGAAACAACACAAGGTCTCTTTGCAGCACAGCTCCAGAGAGAGCTCTCTGCTGCCTTCCTGCCCTTGGAATTGAAGTGATGCTGGGTGAGGATCTTTGGGTGGTATTCTCTCTGTCCAGCCTGGTAGCCTGAGGGAATGGGACAGGTTGCTGAGTAAAGGTGACATCTCCCCTGGAGACTTCTGTGGCTCGGTGTCTTTGCTTTTCCTGGAGGGGTCCAGTGTGGACTGTGGAAATAACAGCCTGGAAGGAAAAGTTTGAGTTGGCTGCGCAGTTCTGAAAGCAGCAGTCACCACATCAGCTGCTCTGAGACATGAGCCCTTCAGCTCTCCCAGTCCTGCAGTAGAATGAGCTGCAGCATCAGTGGTCTGCCTGGATGCTCACCTCCTGCTTCCAGCTGGCCTAAAGGGTGCCCTGGCTCCCTCTGCCCCGTGATCCATATCTCAGACACTTAAGAGAGCCATGTGAGATGAGTGCTGCTGGCCTCTGCAGTCCAGGCTGTGCAAGAAGCTGGGGATGCTCCCTGGATAGCACTCACTACCTTCAGAGCACCCTGTTCTCAAAATGGTAGGTTTTCACCTCTGTTTCTCTCTAAGCTGCTCTCTGAGGGAAACTGGGGGTGCAGGGATGCTCCCCTGCTGTGTGCCCCAGCTTAGGTTGCCAGTGCAGGCTTGCCAGTGCTGCAGAACCCAGGTTGTGAGGGCTGGATTCAGCCTGTCCTTCAGGGGCAGCGCTGGGAGCATGGCTGTGGGAGTCCCAGGCTTGTGTGCAGTCTGATCTGAGTGTTGGGTGCAGATTGTATCCCGGCAGGGAGCAAGGTGCCCAGGCTGTATGCTCACTGCAGTCACACTGCTGTGGCACTCTGCCTCCTCCCATCCCTACCCAGACCTGACCTTTCCGGTAGGCACACTGAATGTTGCTTCAGGAAAGATGGATTTTCTGCTTTGAGGGGCTTTTCTGGCTTTAAGTTGTTCATTAATGTTTCCAGATACTTTGGAAACGCAGATTTCCCTGTGGCAGCTCAATTAAACGCATCAGTGCCAAACCAGCACCTTGTTAACAAAACAAGTCCTTTTTCCAGCTTTTTTCTCAGTGTAATTGTTTTTGGGTTTTTTTGCAGTATTTAATGAATGACTTTGTGCCTTGATTCAATAACTCAGATGGGTGATGATGGCATATATCACTGTGTTACGTATTAGTGTGGTTTTTAACACTAAGACTGTTTGGTTTGGTTCTTTAACTTATTGCGAATTGTGCCCTGTAGGACTTGGTCTAACTGAATGGTTTCAATAAATCCTCTTTTGCATTGTTTGTAAATGGTGCCCTGCTTTTGGTGTGGCAGCTGAGGTTACGCAACACTTGGTATGTTTCGGCAGCCCTTTGTGTGACTTCCCCAAGGCAGAAACCCCCTGTTTTGGGAGGGATCCAGGTGTCCTGGTGGTGCTTTGATGGCTGAGCTGGCTGTGGCTCTGCCCCAGGCTGCTGCGTGCTGCAGGTAGGTGATGGACCAGGAGAAGGGACCATGCAGAGGGAAGCTGGAGTTAGATAACCAAGCTCAATCAGCCCATCCCTGCCTCCTGCCTGGGGCTTATGACCTGGTTTTACACCCCGGAT